TGCTTTGGCTAAAAAATCGGCAATTTCATTGCCGTGAATACCAACATGGCTGGGGATCCAGAGAAATTGAACATTAAAGTCTAATTGAACAAGACTAAATATGATAGATTTGATGCGAAGAATTAACGGAGACATATGTGAATTAAAAGAGAAAGAATTAAGAGATTGTAAAACTGACAAAGAATTGGATGTAATTAAGAAATTTTTAAAAGGTAAAATCGAGAACAGTAAGCGCTTCTATAATAGCAAAGCATTCGGTCGTGAAGGAGGAAGCGGAAGGGGGCAAATTACTAGTGAAAGACATATGTATTTCGGGAATATAAAAAGAGTACCCGGCCGAAAGAGGGGAAACAGAGCCATCCGTATAAATCACAGTAAAATCAGTGAAATTATTACCAATGAAATTCGAGAAGAGATTGTTTATTACCACGGGAGAAGTAGATCTTAATTCTATGGAAGTGAAACCTGGGAATATATCAACAACATTTACCTGTGTAGAATACATAAGGGCTTCATAAGCTATCTCATAAACAGGATATTTCATATTAGTAGAAATATATTAATGAAAATGGAATATATTGTTAGCTGTCAAGGAGAGGACCGGAAGAGATTTAGGAATATAACGCCAAGTTAAAAACAGCGAATAAAAGGTATTAAAGATAGAACAATTAGAGCGAGATAAGGATTTCAGGAGGAATTTACCATAGAAACAACCATAATCCAATTTGGAGCAAATAATAAATTTATAAATCGATAAGAGGGGAGTCAGATAAGAGCCCCTCCAGGTAACGAGCGTTTAGAGACAGCCTATGAGCAAATTCCTTATCAATTATAATATAATATTTCTTATCAAAATTAATAACATAATGATAAAATAGTATCAACATGAACATACAAATAATTAATAATAATGTAAATTATATATTTATAATAATAGTCATAATCATAAAATAAAATATAAAATTGTCATAAAAATATTGTTTTCAAAATAATAATAATAATAATAATAATAATAATGTTGTTTTCAATATAATATAGTCATAAAATAAAATATAAAATCGTTATAAAAATATTGTTTTTGTAGCATAATATTATATGCATGGTCAAACTGTGAATCAATATGGATATAAAGAGATCCGTCTTTTTCGTTCAAGTCATCTATTATTTGTTTTCTTACATTTTCATTTAATAAAACAGCAACATACGATTCTTGTTCATACAGCATTTTTAAATTTGAGTCTAAGGATAAAATAATTTTATGTAGCTGTTTAATTTTAATTTATCTGCTTGTGACACAAACATACTATGTTCATGTTGATACCATTTTGTCATTATGTTATTAATTTTGATAAGAAATATTATATTATAATTGGTAAGGAATTTGCTCGTGGGCTGTCTCTAGACGCTCGTCACCACGTACCGGTGATTGCTCTAAGAAAATCAGTCCAACGAGAGCCAAAAGATATGAGAGAAATAATATGTGGTAACCAACGCAACTTGGAGTCGAGAGTTATATCTAATACTACTTACGGTGTTATCCACAAAAGGAATAATATTATTATCGAAAAAAACATTAAGGGAATTCAAGTATCTACGCCTGGTAAATATAATAGATTTGCATTTGTCTTAAGCGGCTGAAAAATGTAATTCATTAAGCTTAATATTAAGTTCGTTGAAATCCTGATTGAGGGCTGAAATGGCAGCATCAAGGAATTTATCGGAAGAAAAAACTACAGTATCGTCCGCATATATGAGGCATTTATAGCCGAGACTGAGAAGGTGATTTGCGATAAAGCTCATATACACATTAAAAAGAATCGGACTTAGGCAACTTCCCTGTGGAGGCCGGAAAAAGTATCACATGAACAATGTGTACCAAAAGAAGATGTAAAAAATAGATTTCTATATAAAAATAGAGATAGAATAATATTACAGAATGTAGTAGGTAAACGAAGGAAAAAAAGTTTAGATACTAAAGCAGGAATATTAACAGAATCATAAGCACTACGAATATCTATGAAAGTAGCAACCAGAAATTCTTTATTGTTAAAAGGAGTGATAAATATTACCAATGAAGGTGGAAAGACACTCCATAGTGTCCATACTTTTTCTAAATGCAAAAAGATTGGGCGGTAATATAGAATTATATTCTATCCACCAATCAAGCCGGGTTTTGAGAATGTATTCAAAAGATTTACATAATATATAACCATAAAACCAATCATCATTGGTAGAACGATGAGATGGAGAGATACAATTTTTGAAACGTTTCGCTGTTGACCAGAGAACATGAGCATTGTTATAACTAGTTTAATAACAAGTTTATAACTATAACTACAACTATTTTAATACGAGTGTTATAAACGATTTACGAATATACGAAATAATTTTATAACTAGTATTTCAAATGTAGCGCTAAAAAAATAATTCATTTAGATAATAGTTAATTAATTTCGGTGACTTTTTGTCCAAATAAATACAAAAAAAATTGAAAATTATCGTGCCTAAATATAAGGTTAGTAGTGTAGTACCATTGATTATAGAATAGACCATAGGTTCCCAAAGTGTGCGCCGCGATGTCTGTATAAGGGCGCCGCGCCGTCATGAAATACTATCGGGTCCAACATTTTCCTTATGATTAGTCATGCTATGACTTAGAGAAGGGCGCCCTGAAAAAACCTTAAATCATAAAGGGTGCCGTGAGTCGAAAAAGTTTGGGAAGCATTGGATTAGACAGATGAGCCACTTGTAGAAAATACCGGACGCCAATTCCAGACTGTCGGCCGTTGTAGAGCGCTGTAGTCGACGACTATCAAGCAGTGCGGTGTACACCTTTATATATACTATGGCAGGGTGTTATATTTCCACGTACCCCACTAATCTCTGGACTATAAATAACTTATCAGTGAACTATTTTAATACCCATCATTAATTTGATAGATTGTTATATAAATACTACATAATATCTATTATAAAACCAATGATATTAATGGTATTATTATTATTGATATGACTATATGAATTGTAAAATAGGATTGTGGTGTATGGTGTAGACAAATAATTTTAATAACTAGCTCGCCGAGTAATCATAATTTAATATAATATAAAAAAAATAAAAAATATATATATCCTTATATTTATATTATATAACACATAATATATAGGTATAATAATATATTATATAAAAGAACAGACCTTTCTATAATTCTATGTACCAAGTTTCTGATGACACTATTTTAAATTTTTAGGATTTTTTTCACAGGCATGCTCTAATTATTAATCTCAAGCTTCCTCACATTCAGTAACGCTAATCCCTGAGGGTAGAGGGACACTGGCCTTTTAAATAATTTGGTGTAGGGTAGTATATGTATATATGGTGAATTCTAGTATTTTTTGTCTCTATATTTTTTTTAATCCAAGATTAAAAAGTTCAACACTAAGTTTTCGGTAAGTTTTTCTTCAAATAGCTATAGAGAAAACTCGAAGCCTCATTATAGGAAAAATGTTATGAGCATTTGAATTTTTAATTTTTTGGAAAATTACATAACGACAACGATTTATCCTCAAACGATTTTAAATATATTTCAATATTTGTTATTATTCAATAATTATAAGTCGTAGATACTTGAAAATTTCACCAGTTATTTAGATTGGCATTTTCTTTACATGATTTAATTTTCAAAATATTTCATTTATTTTAATACTATATGCTTATATAGGCATTGTAAGTACTCGTTTTAGCTTATTTTTTTTTATTATAAATATTGATAACATTTTTTGGTCGAGTCAAAATATTTGAAAATTTAATATAAAGTTCAACATGAGTCAGTTTTATAGTGATTAAAAAATTATAAGAATACATTGGCACAATTATTTTTTATTAGCGTTTGAAGTTCAATTATTGACAAAAATTTGTCAAAATCATAATTAATTGCAAATTGTTTTGTAGTTAAAATGTACAAAACATTTTGTATACCTAAGTAGCTAAGAGTTGAAAATTGAATACAAAATTTTAACCTTTTTTTTTCCATCTACTACAAAATATATCCTAGGTTGACAAATCATCTCCGTCCAGAATCATTTTTTCGTATACAACGATACCTATCATTGGATTCAAATTTAATATATTCATTATAGTGACTTCAACACAATTTAAAATTTTTTGAACTTATACTTGTATTTATTTTATGTATTTTTAGTACCAGTATGATATAAATAATATTATTGTGTAAGGTAAGTGGTACTTAAATAGAGGGGATTTTGGGAGTTACAAAACGCAACTGGTATATTAACTATATTGTATAAAAGTACAATACATAAATGAACCAAAATAGATATTTTTCAATAACAGTCATTTTAATTTCAAAATTAGATTTGTTTTTTTTTTTTTTATTATTAATTTTAACTTCGATAAACGATTACACTTATCGATTGTCATTCGAAACGGCACACGTATGTTCTCAATGTTCTTATATTTCTTATTTTAAACGTTTTCGTGTTGCAAATAACAATATTGATCATGCCTGGAAATAAGTGCCAATATTTTAATTGCCTCAAAACAACAATACAGTTTCCCAACCTAAGTATGTTTCAATTTCCCAAAGATGAAGTCAGAAGTGAAGTATGGGTACTGAACTGTGGTATGTATTATTTAATTGATTAAAATTATTTTTCATTCAATTTTTTTAATTTATATTAAAAATTATGTTCTTACTATAGGAAATATTAATCTATTGTCGCTTTCGAAAGAAAAATTGTATAATAAATATCTTTGTCAGGAACATACTAGTCCCGATGATTTTATGAATCAAGATAAGAAAAAATTAAAGCCAACAGCTGTTCCTTAAGAATATCATTCGGAAAAACAATCGTCTATATCAACAGGTAAAAAATAAAGATGAGTACTTTATTTAATTATCACTACCGCAATAACCGTCTATTCTATAATCAATGGTAGTACGATGGTTTTTTGGCGGGTGGCATTTTGTCGGATTATGAAGATGGTGTATTGTCAATGGTTTTTTGTTGTTATCATGTGACTTTATGTCGAGTGGCTATTTGTCAGGTGGCTTTATTTTGTGCTTTGGTTATTGGATGATAACGATTAAGGTTTTTAAGATTTCGGTTATTTTTTCAATTTTGTTTACACTGTATTTATACTTTTAAGTTGTATGTTTATTTATTTCGCCTACGTTTGATTTATAAGGTAACTTATATATTAATTATTTTGTTTGATATAATAGTAAAACAATTTTTATGGGAAGTGTCAGTGTTGGGTAGTAACTTAAGTTACAAGTTACTGTAACAAAATTACTTTTTAAGTAATTTGATGTAATGTAATGTATTTAATTTAATTACATTTTATTGTAAATAATTCAGATGTAATTTAAGTTACTTTTTTGTAGTAATTATTACTAAATTCCTTGTTACTTTTTTTTAGTTTAATATCTGTTAAGAACAATAAAAGTTTGAAGGTACGTCAGTAATGGGAAAATAAGAGGTCACTGACATCCTTCAAAGTGAAATAGAATATTTCAAACCTGTTAATGATATTACTTTAGAGTAAAATTAAGTTGAATAAGTCAATGATAACATTATTTTTGATAAAGATATAAAACAAAAGCATTCTAATGCTGAACTTGAACATTTTTTATTTACTCCTTTTAATGGTAATTTAACCATTTTAAAAAATATGCCAATAATGAGATTAATTTTTTTGAAGTATAATACTGCTTTACTCTGAAGTGCTTCTGTTGAACGTTTGTTTATCATAGCAGTAGATATATGCACTAAAAATTGATCTAAAATTAATGACTGTAATTTTGTAAACGCATTGTTGTTTATTATAAATTTGAAAATTAAAGATTAATATTTAATGTGTAGCAAAATTAGTATTAATTGTTAATAATTTAATATTGTTGATTGTCATTATTTAATTTGTGTATTGTCATATAGATAAAATAGATAAAAATATTATGCTTTAAGATATTTAAAAAAAAAAAAGTAACTTCTATTGTAATTGAGTTACTTTTAAAACTCATAAGTAATGTAACTTGACAAAATGAAAAAAAAAGTAACTTAAAATAATTTAGTTATAATTTTGCTAAGTAATTAGTAATGTAATTTAATTACCCAAAATAAGTAAATCCCCAACACTGGTAAGTGTCATAATTAATCCAATGTTAAATTTTGTTTTGTTGCTAGTTAAAGGTTTGAAATGTCCTATTGTGGTTTCTTTCAGCTTATTTTATATATTTTTGGTATTAATGTACTTTACACGACTATCTTTTGTTTTTATATTTTATTTGATTATGTTCTTCATAATTTAACGTTATACATTTGTAATGTTTTAAATGTCTTGGGTTTTACTTTTTTTTATAACAGGCATATGCCTTAATTTAAAAAAAAATATAGTTGTGTAAATTATTGATTATTTTATAATAAATCACCAATTTAGATGGTTATTTTTGTCTATTAAAAGTTTTAGAAAAAAAATAAAAATGAAAAAAGCATCGTTTGGAAGACGGTTGTCTACAGCTGGACCGAATACGTTAATTAAATATTTGTTTAGTTAATTGTGAATCTTTTTATACTTGATTTAGTCCTTTTTTTAATTAAAAGTATATTTAAATGTTAATAAATTATTTCTTAGATTCAAAATTATTTTTTGACTTCAAACGCAAGTCACATTTTGAATAATGGTGGTATGAAGCCAATGACAACTACTATGTTGTTATTATACTATGTAACTATATTGATATGGTTGAATATTTATTTCATAATTTGGACCACAATCAATTATTAAATAAAAGCAAATACATGGAAGAATTACCAAAAATCATGAAGAAATATTATTATAAAGGAAAAGTTGACAAATCTTGGCTTATTACAGGTAATGTACATTTTGTTCTATGTATTTAATAATTTTTACTTAAATTATAAATTTAAAAACTTCATGAACTTTTAAATATTATTTTGTTTGTGTTTTTAGTATATAATTTGTTTTTTTTACTTTTTTTATTACAATTTTTTATAGTTAACTCAAATCATTCCTTTCCACAAGTTGTTGGTTTACTTCTATGGCTTGTAGAATTGTGTGAAACTCAAAGTAATTTCAATGTTATGGAAACTTTATATCCGTCAAATTTTGATCTAGATGAGGCTGAAAATGAAGATCATTTACAAACACTAGAATTTGAGGTAAAATTATCTATTGATAAATGCAAAACATAACTATTCTGGATTTGAAAATGGTTGTTTTTATGTGCATATCTACATACTTATTAATAAAATTAATTAAAATAATTTAACTGTGAAACTATAACATATTGTTTATTGATTAATATATTTTTAAATTGAAATTGATCTTTAAATATAAATTATGTTTTTAGATATACTTACCATATTTATTAAACTCTTATCAAGTTGAAAGTAGAGGAACTGGTAAACCTGCTGATATAGAATTTTTGCAAAAACAAGAAGAGCTGTTACTGAATAATTATAGTTCATAATATTGTTATTAATGTATTTAGTTATAAATTTACTAATTATACAATAATTTTATTCTATATTCAATTCAGAAAAAACCCTTGCCATTGATGAAGGAGTATTAACTAAATTAGAAGCTGAAGTGTCTGAATTTAAAGATGAATTTGATTCACTATGTGATGCTACGGAAGAACATAAGTTGGAGGTAAAGTAGTTTGATTTTTATCATTCATATTTAATTTTTCAAGTGACTTCAGTCATTAAATTTATAATTGAATAATATTCAGTGGTGTTTTATTCTAAAGTTGGACAGGTGTGTAAAATAATAATGAGGGTCCCCCTTTATATTTTATTTTCCTATATAATATATATATAGAATATAGTCCATCAGTAGATACCTATTTTATAATTATAAATCAGTACTCCTCAGCAGGAACGGATCTAGGGGGGGTCAGGGGGTCAGCTGATCTACAGTTAATATTTGTTTATAAAATGGGCCTCTTGGAAATTTTTTTCTCTTTTTAGACCTTGATTTGGACTCTTGGACAGTTGGCCCATTGGAGTTACTTGAAAAATGAATGTTCTGTATATACAAAATTTAAAATTTTTCAATTCATAATTTATATTTTAAATTATATCGTTTTAGTAGAAAGTTAAGTAAATCATATTTTATTCCATACGTTTGTTTCGCTGATAAAATTAGATTATATTTATTAATCGTAAATAAGTCATTTTCGGTGGTATCACTAATTTTAAAATGTAATATAAATATACTTATACATTTTTATGAGCATATTGTATTTTTTTTTTTTTTTACAAGGTATTAATTTCTAATTCAGTTTCATCCCTAATAAATGGCCTCTTGAAATTAAATATGTTTTCAAATTGTTTGACAATACACTTATTTTCGTTTTTTTTTGATGGCTTCAAAGTAATGCTGGCTACTAAAAAAAATCCAATAATGATAATAATAGAGGCTATTTTACGTTTTTTTTTTTTTTTTTAAATCCAGAGGGGTGCAAGTGCACCTGTTTTGCTCACCTCTCGCGGCGTCTCTGTTACCATTAATAGTTACCTGTTGTCAATATTTTATTGATATTTTATATTCATAACTACCAATTAAATAAAATAAAATTGCAATCACTTCAAGAATTTATATTTCTGCATTATTGATAATATTGGTTTTAATATTAATATTATAAATATTATTGTCATGGGTGTAGCTAAGATTTGAATCAGGGGAGAGGGGCAAAAACATAAAGCGATTAGTGTTAAACTCGTAATTCAAATAATCTACAGATAGACCATTGGATAACACATAAAACGTCAAAACGATTACACGTGTAGATAACATTGGGCCCACTAAATTATTTTTAGATTTATATCTTATTTAATTTTTGATTTTAATGTAAAACTTATACGTTTGGTATAAACAAATAAAAATCAGTTTGAGGTGCAGGGGGGGGAGGCAAGTGCACTTGCCCCTACCCCACCCTTGCTTCTCCTATGATTATTGTTATTATTTTATACTATGAATTTATTTTGTATTAACTATGAATTTTAAGAATAAGTATGAACACATTTTTGTGTCTGGCAAAAATAATGTAATAAAATATATTTGTATTTTTAGGATCTTAAAGCTATGAAAATTACATTACATAATGATATATCTTCTTCAAAAAAATACATCAAAGATATACAAAATTGTGTTGTTGAGTTGCAAGAATATATAATAAAGAAAAAAGATGAATGTTCTTATCAAGGTATTTAATGTTAAGACATTTAAAATTATTTAGTTAGACCAAAAATCTTTGAAGGGTAGTACCTATCCTAAACTTATATTTTCCTTAGTTTATATAATATATTATTTTATGTATTAATTTATACACTATCATTAATTTGTTCTAGTTCAAATTAATTTTTTTGAGATTTTCTTATAATTGCTTTATAATTGGAGTTCTTAAAGCTACTATGGCATAAAATAAAATTTCGATCAAAAAAAATTTAACAATTATATATACTGCAGTTTTTGAAACATAATATATTCACAATAGTTTGCATGACAAGGGATCAGGAAAGTTCAAAGCCAAACGCACAAAGGAAAATGTAAAAACAATAGATGGTCAAAATGATTGGAATTCAATAACAGAAGGTATATTAAATGCAGCCAACAAAACTTTAAAAAGTGAACTATTGAGGCCTAGGAAACTGTGGATAACGCAACAAGTACTGAATTTTATCAAGGAAAGGAACAATTATAAGAAAAAAGAGAATTATCGACAATACCAAAAAAACAAAATGTAGAGAAGCAAAAGAGATATGGATGAAAGACATCTCAAAAGAAATTGAAGACAAGATAAGTGAAGCTAAGATGGATAGAGCATATGACATAGTTAAATAAATATTGTTTCAAAATAGAACGAAGAATTGAATGTGGTTAATAGTTGTATTAATGGACCGCAAATTACTCAAGAAGATAAAAAAAGAATCTAAGAAGAAATAATTAGTTTAAAACAAGATATACAGTATGAAGAAAATTGTTTAACTGAATACTCAAATATTGTTTATTCTGAGGATTTGAATGTTGTTAATGTTCGATTAAAGGTTAATATCAATAAATATTGATTATTAGACTACTTATGATAATTGCAAATTATAATGATACCTAGCATATTTTTTCCTGGTGGAAATGACATTGTAAATATTATTTATTTTGTTTTGTTTAAGTGTAATTTTATAGTAGAACTCTATATTCAAAGGCAAATTAAAAAAAAAAAAAAAAAAACTATATAATAAAAAGTAGTACCAAATTTATAATTTATCCCTTACCCAGCTTAGAAAATTTAAAATTGCAAAATAGCTATATTATGAAACAATTTATCTCGGAAATGTCAAAGTATCAACATTGAAATTCAAATAATTGGTTTTGTGGTTATAACTAATGTAAGTTTTTTAAAGAGGGTAACCATATATGGTTAGGTATAATGGCTATTGTAATTAATAAATTAGATATTTTTTCAACATCATAAATTTAATTTAGTTTAGATAAATGATAATAAGACAAATGTATAAAGTAAATGTAATCATCAATGTGATTAGAATGCGATAAAAATTATCAAAGTTAAACTTATTTATTGCAAAAGTATTGCAATAGCCATTATATCACACCTAAACTATATGCTATTCTTTTTTTTCAAAATTTACATTAAGGCGCGTTCTCATGAGTCAAGTTTAGTTGACTGATTAGAGTTGATCAACAAAAATTGAATATAAGTTGAATCAGTTTTTGTTCACAAATTTCAACAGAACATGTTTTAATTTTATTTTCAACTCAGTTGAAAAGCGGCGGTCGACACGAAGTTGACACCAACTGTCATGCTTATGATAAAGTTCTAAAAATTTTAGCATCACGCTTTCAGACCACTTGAGACTCATTTTTAAAACTAAAAATATTAAATGCGTTAAAAATTAAAAAAAAAACAACTGACAAAATAAAACATAAAATGCACGTGTGACTGCCCATTGGTTGAAAACAAACTGAAGTTCAACTTGAATCAACTGTAGTGTAGGTTGTTTTCACATGTCAAGACGGGTTTCAACGTGAAAGGAATTGGAAAACAACTCATTACTTGAACGATAAAGTTTGACTGTATCAAACTTTTTTTGATCAACTAATCAGTTCAATTTTATTGAAACAAAGGTTCTCACTATAAAATTTATTCAATTTCTTTTGATCAACTATAATCGGTCAACTAAACTTGACTCATGAGAACGCGCCTTTAGCTATTACTATGTAATAAATATTTGAATTTTCACTTACTTATTATACTATACTGTACATAAAATGTTCACATTCAATTCTTTTATAAAACGGCAATTTTTTAGAAATGAAAAATTCAAAAATTGTATTTTGAAGATGGTTATGGAATGACAATTTGATTGATATGATGATATTTTTACATACCTTATAAAATTACATAAAACAAAAATATCGGAAAAAAGTTAATATTCTAGGAATTATTTTTATTAGAAAATAATGTTTAGCTATCCTAAGTAACTATTTTTTTTTTGAAGTATAAACTAATATTTTGTAAAATATTCATAAGAAACTTTTGTTTATTAAGTATTATATTTTATTTTATTTTAGCTTGATAAATTATTCGTTCAGTACAATAAGATGTGCGCTGAAAATTTTGTTGCGTTGCCTGAACTTAAAATACAGTAGCTGACAAAAATGTACTCTCTATGTATGTAACAGAGTATCTAAAAGAAGTTGATGAAGTACTATAAAGCTAAAAAAACAAAAATTCCTAAAAGTTGAAAGTAGAAGAACAGAAGTTAGCTTCTGTACAAATGGTATTAGAATCGGTAAATAATAAATAAATAAATATAAAAATTAAATTGTAAATATGCATTGTATTTTTAGGCAACCCTGGAGTTTCATAAATTGAATAGTGGAAAACATTGAACCTGAACATGATGATGATAAAAACATTTAATGAAGATTGCAGATCGTCAGTTTGAAGTAAATATACCTTATTGATTTACAATTTCTTTTGATTGGAATTCTATAAATTAACAATTATTTTTGGCAATAAAAAAGTATTATTTTATTACATTTTAAAATTAATTGTTTTATAGTAGTATAGATTTGTTCTAATATGTATGCTAAATTATAAAAAGTATTCTTATAGTTTCTAATTTTAAATATTATCAGTTGAAATTTCGATTTTTATTTTATTATTTTTTCTCATTTTAATTTAAATAATTAATTTAGATAAGTAAAGAGTATGAAAATAAGTTGTATGAGCTTCAAACAGAACTTAAAAATAGTAATCTTGATAAAAATGCGGTTGCAGTCAAAACAGAAGAAAAAAATAAACTTTGTAAAATGTAAGTATTAAAAATTTATTTAATATAAATGTAATTAATTCGTGATGTATGATATTCAGGATTGATGAAATGGAAAAAGAAAAGGAAAACTTTTTCATAAAAATATTTAACTCTTTGAAAGATCATGTAAGAGTTATAGAGGAGACTAAGGAATTTGCCAAGGTAATAAGTTTATGTTAATTATTAGATCATATATTAATGAGTTACAGAGCCAAAAGTGTATTTAGCTCTAAAATGCTGGGGGTGTTGCACCATCAATAGCATCATAATCTCACATATATGTGAAATACACAAATACACAAACACAAATTTATCTTATATTGTTAATGATGTTAGTAAAATGTTAACAATACATGTGTTATTTTGTCCTTCGCAGTGGTATTTTTCCATATGATTTCTATTTTAATACTACTAGTACTTTCATTATAATTTTTTTAATTTTTTATGTGGCCAATTCATGCTATTCTTATACATTGTAACTGCTACTATGTCTGGTTCCTTATTTAGCTGTTGAAATTCTATATTGTTTCTTATTTTATATTTTTGTATAATATAATATTATATTTATTTTATTTTGGCCCATATATTCTTTTTACCCTGTCGCTACAATCAAAATGGTCACAATTTTTTTTACATATTTAATAAAACCTTTACATTTTATATTTCAACTGTTGATACTCATATAATATGAATCAATAACATTTTTCAAAGGTATACTGAGTGTCAATGATATAAATATAAAATGTTAATGTTATATTAAAGACCTAAAAAAAAGCGCGACTAACGCTGGGTTAATATTATTCTTTCATATATTGCTATATATAGTACATTTAGTCATTTTTTGAAATTTAATTTTATATGATAATTTTTGGAAATTTTGGAATAAAATGATATTGCTGTATATGCTTAATAAAGGATACTAATTATGAGATTATGAGCTTTTAGAGGTGTAAAGCACTAACAACTTCAATGTAAGAGCTCATATGTGCGGGTATGATAATTAAATATTGCATTTTTAAAATAAGTCCACCTCATAAACATTTAAAATGTGTTTGGGATTTTTATATCTTATAATTTCTTTTAAATCCTTTTTCCTATTACTTGCATTTAATACAAGTAATTATTGAATATTATAACATCAATTAATATGCATTGATTTTGTAATTTTTAATTTTATGGTAATTTTTCAGAATTTGTTACTACAAGAAAAGGAAGAAATGAAAAGTATCAGAGAAAATTATTTAAATACTAATAATAATTCGTAATTCGTAATTAAGTTTTATATTATTAATTATTAATAAATTAATATTAATAATAATAACTGCAACACAACTATATTTTCAGAGTACATTTAAGTTATTTCGACAGTCATATTTTTTTATATATCACCCATGTTTTATAATCTCTTGTTAATGTTTTATTTAGTTTGGTTAAATTTACTCATGTTTCTACTCGTATTTTATATTTTTTATTCATTGGTATTTAATCACGCCTTTCAGAAGTTGTATATTATTTAAATTATATCAATAATAGTTTTCGTGAGGTAAATATCTCAACTCTTATTATATCCTGACGAGAATACAAGTATACTGTATACAAAGGTGGACTCAACTTTTGTACGGCTATAGACACTAAAAATTTGCTGCTCCAATTATTAAATATAATAGTACCTTGATATTGATGATTGCCGGCTGACTCCGCGGCTTTAAATTCAATCGGCATTTTACGCAGTCGATATGCGTAGACGGAAGTCGCTGTCCCATATTGCCCATCACGCAAGTTCGCAGTTCAGGAGTATGTATTAATCGTATTCCGTCTTTCTTCCCCATCACTAGGGAGTGTTTAAATATCGCTATCCCCAACCTGCCGACCCGATCTAGTTGTGAGAACCGGCGCACAGTGGTCCGAAAATGAAAATAGCCAAAAATGATTTTTTTGAATTTCAAAAAATTCAAATTTTTCTTTTGTAGGTATATATTTTCTACAGAACTTAAAGTATACAACTGTACAACAATAATGGCATAACGTATTTATATTCATGGAAAAATAAAACATTTAAGTTGAAGAAGCTTTAATTGTTCGCGCAAACATTTTCAAACGATAAACTTTGTCGTACACCGACCGGTTTGACCAGTGGCGTGGATATATGGTTCTTTCGAGAACATTCTATAACCACCTTTATTATTATGGTCGGACCGGAAAAAATCCACTTTGTCGCCGAAATGCTAGTAAGTACGCCTGCAACTTTCAATGCGGTTTGCTGTGCAACCACATTGCGTACTCATTTTTGTAGTCGACATTCGGATGCTGAGAACCAGTAACAGTTTGCTGTACACAGGATTGCTGGCTCTATCCGTGAACGAATTACATTTTGCTGTCGAAGAAGTCGACCATCGGCTCTAATGTTCGTCGCACGTGCTAAGCGCGGTCGCGTGTGCGCAACCAATCGAACACCCAGCCGCCTAAAGTTACTATCGTCGCACCTTGTAACGTGTGGCGTCTTGATTTTATTATATCGCCTTTTTTTTTGTGCCATATTTTAGTAAATTATCGTGCCGTAATGGCTTATTGTATGTATTATTATTATTATTATTATGACTTAATTGTATCTAATTTTTTTGTTAATACGTCCACGACGCATGTTTTTATATTATTATAATTACATTTGTTGCAACAATCATATAAATTGTAATAATCGAGCTAAGCGACCCTCTTATATCCGTAAAAGATCCGGTGTTTAATTCGGACGTGTATGATAAGATTTCGGCATTGATGCCGTGTCGACTTAAGCACGTACATTAATTGTGGTATAAACAATATAAACTCTTACAAGTTGTATAATATTTATTAACAAATACGGAACAATAAACATTACAAATAATATATAACAAAATTAAACACGCGAACCAAGGTACCAAGAGAATTTAAACATAAACGGCACGTTGACGTATCAATGAGAAATCGTTGACTAGAGCAGTGCTTCTCAACCTTTTTTGTTGTAAGGCCCCTTAAATTTAATGTAAAACTATCAAGGTCCCCCTCAATCAAAATCATTAATTAAGATGAACCACGTTTAATGGTTAGAATAAACGATGAAATGACGTTTTGAATGAAAACGCGGTGAATTGGATTTTACCAACTTTGTTCATTGAAATATATAGGTATCAATTATTTATGCTAGATTAATTTTCAAATTGATGCTTCAATAATAAAGCATAAAGTTTTATAATAGTATTTGGGGTATCTACATTTTGACTAAGTATTAATGTTATTACATTACCTTATGATATTGCACTGGAGAAACTTGAAATGTTCTGAAAATATTCAGCACATGACATAGAGTTGTGAAAATCGTTGACCTTATACTTTTATAGGACGGGCATCTCTAAATAGCGGTCATTAATTCCGGTTTCTTTATTAACCATTGTATAGGAATTTTTACTGTAATATCATTATATATATTTAAATATTAAAATATAATAATATATTATAATATGTAATGTGTATTATATACTTATAAACATAATATGTATTTATATATTATGTTCCGGTAGGCAACACCTCGTTGGTTAGTCTTGTACATAGGTAGGCAGTGGCGTAATTGTGGGGGGCAAGGGGGGTAAGTGCCCCCTCTGACAATTTTTTGAGAGATAAAGTTGTAATTCCCCCCCCCCCTCTTAGACAATCCAACAGTAAAAATAGTACCTTTTATTAATAAACTCTTATAGATATTATTTAAAAATACTGGTACCTAGTAAATGCTACCTACAATTCATGTTTATCTAAACCATAAAATGAGTTAAGGCGGTTGAAAGTGGGTCGTTTTTTCGTGCATTTAGACCAATAAGCAAAAGAAAAAAAAAATACACTTCCAGAAGTCCAATTTTTATTTTGAAAAAATGTTTGGATTTGTTTACTCCTTGTCTGTGTTATGTAGGAAATCAATTTTTTATTTTATAATTTTTAGTAACAATAAAGTAAAAGTGAATTTTGGAAAAAAAAAAGAAAACTAATTTGGTACTATATTAATTAAACAATAGAAAAAATCGAAAATCAATTTCCTACATAACCTAGAAAACAGAATAATGAATTTAAATATGTTTTCAAAATTAAAATCGGGCTTTTGGTACTGGGTGAATTTTTCTTCTGCTTTTTGGGACTTTCATAGCCGCATATAGGAGTTGAATCATTTTCAATCGCAAAATATAGTGACGTGTGACTGCGCGTAGGTACGGATTTCCGAGAATCATAGCCGTGATAATTATACGGGCGATAAGAAATCAATTACATTAAATTATAGCAGTAGAACAATAATAACGATACACAGTTGCTAATAAAATATTATTCAGTATATTATGTCATCGTGATTCAGTCCGTGCACGTTTCTATTTGAACTCACTACCGATTTTATTTTTTTGTGGTAAAAATGGGTAATTGGCGTTTCGGTAATAAAAATTATTTTATAACCAACATTATCATTTATTATTCTATGATTATTACAGTTGTTATTTGTATTTAGTTATTTTTGCACTGGTCCAAAAGACAACGAAATTGATTTAGTTCCTCAAATGGAATCTTGTGGCTTATTGGCAGATATATCAGGAGCCAAAAATATTGTTGCCCATCATGCTCAAAGCTTAATTTACAATGTTAACAATAATGCTGTAGAAGGGTTTAATTGCGTAGTAGCAAAATTTGTTGGTGGAAAAAGGGTGAATTTTTCTTTACGAGGTAAAAGTTTAAATTTTTAGTAAAAGATATTTATACATATCTAAAAAAAATCACATGAAATTAATTTGTATTTTAAGATCGTACAGTGCAAGATGTAATGCTGCAGTTTTATCATTTAATTTTGGTCCAAAATATTTAAATAGTTTTCATAAAAAAGTTACAAATGTAAGTCCTGAAATATACACTAAAAAATTCATAAACAAGATTGATAAAGACCAGCATAGCAGAGTTGGTCGACGTTTAAATTTTGATAAATCCAGGTATAAATTATTTAATTAAACCAACTATATACGAGTAGGTACCTAATAATATAGGGTGTATTAATAAATATAATACTTTATAATACATAACATAACACACTATAATTAACAGTAGGTACGCCAATATGTCTAAAATACAATTTTAAAAATCTACTGTTATGTTATTTAATAATAGAAAATTTGAGAAAAAACAAAAATGTATTGTTGGACCAGATGAAGATTATGGAGCTGTGGACATTGGAATAGGTATAATTGATATGTCACTCGAAGAATACGACGCCAAAAAAATTGCATTTTTAAAAAAAATTGATTTATCCGTTGATGAAATAATAAAAATAGAAAGAAATACCGTTGGACAAGAAGAGAATGACGATTGGAAAAAATTTAGAAAACAACGACTTACGGCATCTAATTTTGGAAAAGTTTGTAAATTAAGACCCACCACTTCGCGAGCGAATACCATAAAATATATTTTATATGATATTTTCCAAGGAAGTTCTTCAACTAGGTTTGTGGTATATTTATATTTTATTGATTTTACAATAGTAATTGTTTAGGTATATAATTATTTTTATAAAATGTTTTACTATAAGGTATGGTATTGAAAACGAATCAATAGCCCGAAATGCGTTCCAAAAAACCATAAAGGAGAAAATCGAACTAGCGGGATTATTATTCATAAGAATAAACCCTATCTCGCAGCAAGTCCTGATGGGTTAATAGGTAAAGACTGTATCTTGGAGATAAAGTGTTTTCCGAGCATAAAAGAATATACTCCAGAAGAAGCAGTACACAAAAAAAAAATAAAGTACATGATATCCGATGGTGAAAAAATTACTTTAAAAAAAACTGATAATTATTATTATCAAGTTCAAGCACAACTCAATATTACAGAAAGGAACTACTGTTATTTTGTTGTGTGGACTCCAAAAGGTAATAGTATATGATAATTGTTTACGTAGAATCTAAAATATTATAATTTATACGTTCGATTTTAAACGTTTTTATTTTAGGTTTTATAGTAGACAAGATATCCAAAGATGTCAAATTTTGGACATCAAAAATTGAACCATTTGTTACAACATTTTACATGGAATCTTTACTGCCTGAAATCATTGATCCAAGATTTGATAGAGGACTACCAATAAGGTCTAGTATACCGAAGAAGAAACTCTAACTAAATTAAGGTGTATTTATGTAGCAATATAATATAATGCAAACAATTGTTTTTTTAAAGAAGGTACTTACTGTTGTCGATATATAATTTATAATGATTATGTTTTTGAATAAAATTATGAACTAGGTACATTATACTTTATGTAAATACGATGTTGTATTTACCTACATGTTTTTTCAATACAATGCGCGCTATGACTACGATTTAAGATGGTCTATCTTAGATCGAGGTTATGACAGTAATAAAATTATTGTTGAACTGTTTACTGATAAAAGGTAAAAATTACGCGTTCGGGGAACTCACGCACACTAATGAGCAATTACTACACGCATACTCACACAGCAATTCCCAAGTTATAACATATTGCCTATACTCAACCCCTTAAAAACGGTCCACTTTCAACCCCCTTAATAGAATATGTAAAATCAAACAATTAGATATAGTGTATAAAATACATACAATAAAAATATGTTTTAACTGGTGAGGGGAGGGATGTCAAGGTTTTGTTAATAATAAATATATTTTATTGCCCCCCTAGGTTTTTTCCCATTTACGCCACTGTAGGTAGGTACTTGCATTATCTTATTTGTATGTTAAAATGGTATTCTGTAATACCAAAGCATAATTTAACAAAGTTCGTAACACTAGTACCCCCCAGTGGTAATTTAATGCTTCTCAGTGGTGGGTGACAGTGGCGCACAGAAGATTTTTGACAAGAGTGTCGAAAATATATATTTCATTGTACCCACCCACCCCCACCAGTAAAATTTGAGTTTAGGCATAATATAACTTTTATTTTTAAGTGTTTTTGGTTTTTTCTTACTAACAAAGATACTAAAGTAAAAATTTTTAAAATAAACCTAATATTAATTATTTTTCAATTTTCTGGGTATTAATTTATAAGTTTGTATAGCATAATTTTTGGGATTGAGCCCTACTACTTATTCTTATGTGACGCTTTAGTTCTAGGGTAGATATAATTAGTATATTGATTTGGATAGCTGAAAAATTGATAAGTATTAAATTAAAAAAATATTCATACAAGTTCACACAGAACTAGCCATCCATCACTTCTCTGAGGGGTGTCAGTTGATACCCTGACCTTCCCTGTATACGCCATTGCAACGGGCTATAATTATTCATTTAAAACATAATATTTAAAATACCTACATAACACAAAATCTTATTTAAAGTCTATGGATTTTGCAAAGAAAAAAAAATAAGCTGACGGGATTAAAAAATAAATTTACTCGTGAAGTAAGAAATTATTTTAAAAAAAGTAACTCGTGATGTTAGAAAATATTTATTTTAAAAAAAGAGTAAATCGTTATGTACCTAATTTAGTTAAAAGTAACTTAATTTTTTAACTTGTTAATGTCTAATTTTGACTAGGGCTGTTC